CCCTTGATTAGTCTCCTCAGGTGTGTCTTATCTTGTTAAGCTTGTTAGCCCCTTGTGTGTATATATAGCCCTAGTTTTTCTTTAGTTCCTTGTGAGTTGTTGAATGTAATGGTTGTCTGTTTGCCAGTCATTCTGTTCTTTGTTCCCTTTGGTTTTTGGCTTATTGTTTGTTCTAGTTTACCAATTAAATACCTGCACATAAATCCTTGCCTCTGCCTTTTTCCCCAGCTTCTCCACAACATTACAGTTTTTCACTGGCATGTCTCTTTGACTAGTGCATTTTTTGAGCCTATATTTAGTATAAGTAAAATACTTAAGTACTGTTAAAATCAGATACTCTAAGGCTTTACTCAAGTTGTTTTGGAATTGGTGACTTGTAACGTGTAGTGGAGTAATTTTCACTGTAAGGTATCTGTACTTTTACTCAAGTATGGTTTTTAGCTACTCTTTACACCTCTGGTTCTGTGCACTGCCGTCTGACTGGATGCTGCTCGCTGTACGTTCGGTCGTTTACTGTTTAAAAGCCACTGCGCTTGAGCTGTCCTGCTCATGCATTCATGCTGTTCATGTTAGGAATCTGTACGAATACATTTCAGTGGGTGTGTGAACCTGTTTTCTCAATTGCTCTCCTTTCTTTTGTGCTTGTTACAAACTGCCATAGATTTGAAAAATACCAATGATTTTCATCAACAATGAGTTTGAAATGAGGTTATTGCTATATTATGTTATAATGTATGTAATATTAAAACTCTGTTGTTGTTGCATTTTCTCAGAAATGTTTTTGTATCATTCTTAAAGAATAAAGTTATAGATCATATTTCAATAAATCACTTCTATCGCCTGTTTTTAAAAATATAATGTGGTCAGATAGACATTATACAGAAAAAAATAGAGAAAGATAGCTGAATGAATGAATGAACGAAAATACATAATTAAAAAAATCAATGAATGAATGAGAATAATGAATAAAATGTGACAGAAAAGGCAGACAATGAATGAGAAAAAAACAATTAATGAAAAGTAATCAGAGCAAATTACTGTTTTTTTTTATTTTGCAACAAAACAACATACAAGCATAAAGACAATAAACTAAATATCCTAAAAGGGTTATTCATGAAATGGACTAAAGTGTATTATATTATATTATATTATATTACATAATGGTTGAAAACTTTATTGTTGTTGCATTTTCTCTGAAATATTTTTGTATTATTCCTAAAGAATAACGTTAATAACTCGTACTTCAAAAAATTTATTATTTAAAATATATCAAATTTAGTATTTATTTCACCGATTTTTTAATATAAAAAAGGCATTGAGAAAGAAAGCTGAATGAACAAATGAACATAAATACATGAATTGCAAGCACAAAAATGAATGAATGAATGAGAAAGACAGAATGAATAAAAGAAAAAAAACTATATAATAAAGTTGAGTTATTTAAAGAATTCGAGTATATATCGAAATCTTTCTTGAAAATAGAAAAAGAAGGTATTCTTTTATTTTAAAAGAAAGTACATACAT